CAAACCTATTGAATCCGATCTAGACACACCGTTTTTTGTGGAGCGACATCTGTTATGGCTCCTGCACACAGGACGCGGTAATGCTTGCCGAGCGGCGGAAGACCGCGCGACAGTCAATCAATATATTGTTTTTCCGTAAGAGCTAGAAGGTTATTACGGAAAGCAGCATATTGATTGGCTGTCGCGCGAACTTCTGCCGCGCGGCAAGCATTACAGCGTCCTGTGTGCAGGAGCCATAAGTTCTTTTCAGCTGCACTGTTGAATTGGTGCAATAAGTTAGAGTGAGAAAAATATACTTGTCTCACTTGTCTTTAACTTATTGCACCAGTTCAGTAGTGCAGCTGAAAAGAACAGACCAAGTATTAAACGTGCGTTTTCTGAACGTACTTTCATTTTACATGTGACATAGCCGTAACAGACGCCTGCATGTATACTCTCTCTTCTCAAGTCACGTTGGTCGCGTGGTGTATGCAGGTATATGCAATTTTTCACTTGTTAATGGAATATACTTAATAACATTTATAAAATAAAATATGGCTATGCCAATTTGGGCAAAGGTAGGAATTGGATGGTAGGTTTGCTACGGTACATAGAATAATTTCGTAAGATCACTTCCATTCATTATCTTTACGATACTCGGCGTCAGCGTTAACCTTAAATGTTGTAAAAATGTAATGATTATTGCATCAAAAGATCTTGCTCTTAAATGTATACACAGATTTTTAATATTTGTATAGAGTTGAAAGATTTTACATGATTCTTGCGTTTATTGTACACGCAAAAATCCATGCTTCTAGAAGAATAATATTTGCTTTATATTATTTTACAGGGTTGCAGCGGCTGGCTTAGGAATTTACACATTTGTACTATCGAAGAATGACATTAACAGTAAGAGATATGAGATTATGAAAGCCAGACAACGTATAAAGGAGTCAAATGTTGTAGATTAATTTATAATTAAGATATATAAAGAGTTTATATAAGAAAAGATATAATCAAAGCTCGACATTAAAAAGGAAAATGGCAACATTACCACAACTGGACGAAGATAAACTTAAGTTGGTGCAAGATTTGGAAATAGAAATGATGCAAGATATGTTTAATCGTATGACATCAGCATGCCACAGAAAGTGCATAACACCAAAATATATTGACCCTGAATTAGGCAAGGGGGAGTCGATATGTCTGGACCGTTGTATTGCTAAGTATTTAGACGTTCACGAACGCATCGGCAAGAAACTCACGCAATTTTCGATGCAGGAAGCAAAACTACAAGAACAGCCAAAGAGTTAAGTTGATCGTCGTTAGTTGCATTTGAAGGTTCTTTTGTAACCTCTTGTAAATTAACTATTTTAATTTTCTCCAACTATTACATATTTCTGAAGAATGTATAGTTTATGTAAATTAGACCGGACTAGAGCAAACATAGTGTTGTCTTTTATCTTATTATTACCAATAAATTGGTAATAATAAAGTAAGAAATAAACTGATGAAATATATAAAATGTTGTAAGTTTTTAATCTCTCAGTGTTCCAGCCTCACTTTAATATCCTTTCTCAATGTAACATTAAATGTCATTAGAGTTCAGTTCCATCAACATCTTTAAACATTGATTAAATCTTGATTCGAGCTTAAGTCTGAAAATAATTCAAACTCAGATTAAAACTTAATCGACGTTAATGAAATCGGGTAGAGGTCATACAAAAAGTTTAGTCAAATTATTTATTAATTAATCGCAATTTTGAAAACAAATTAAGACTTGGCTACTCATCGTAGAACTTTTAGTTAATAATATCGGGTATGAGGAGATGCAAAATTCCTTCAAAGTACGTCGAAATAAAAAGATACATAAAAAAAATAACGTGATCGATTAAGCACATCTCTAAAGTAACCTCTGAATAAAACAAACTTTTTTTTATCTCTTAGAATTCCAGTTTAATTGCTGTGGCGTGGAGGCGTGTTTGAGCTTGTTCGGATACGATCTTTGATTTTTTTAGAGGATACCTTAAAATTATTTTTAAGGAACATTTAAAAATAGGAGTTGGGAAAGATTAAGAGGGAGAGAGAAAAGATATTGGAGCAAGAAAACAGAGTGTTAAATAATCATAAATATTCTCGGGAAAAGTTCGGTAACGTAGTCGCTAAACAAGAAAAAAATCCTTTTACTTTACAATCAATAAATAATGTAACACATACAACCTTCTTTTTAACCTACATTTCCTTATTACTTCGTCACGTTAATTTTATTGGTTCTTCATTGATTGTTATAGCAAATGGAGAATATTTGAGGTATTTGAGAGAAGTGCTTAATCAATTGCAAATGTCATTTTTTGAATATATTTTTTTCATTTCAACGTGCTTTGCAGGAATTTTGACATACATTTTCTCGCTTTTGACGTCATAAATTAAGATTAAGAGCCGGTTTTTCAATGATAGTTTAAACTTAGATTTCAACTTAAACTTTGTTTAAACAAAACAAACGCATTGTTAGAATAGAGTTAAACTTGAATCAAAGTTTAAATTGCTATTGAAAAACCGGTCTTTAGAGATTTAGCGCAGAATGATCACACACACACACATAGGAGCCTTAATCAATCAATCAATTAATCGTCACCGTCGTTTATGATCTTTTGTCAATATTCTAACAGCTTTCATATATATATCGTTATCAAAATATATCGATCGAAAATCGAACTGATCTTTTAAATTGATCTAATATTTTATCAACATCTGCTTCACAATATATATAAAATAAGAAAATTCGCCTCATACAATTTACACGTCGAAATATGTAAAATATAAATAAACTAGCACATTATTTACAAACGGTTTATTTTGCATGGAGAGGTACAGGTATACAACGTACAAAATAAAATTAATGATCATCAATACAACATATCTCCAAACATATACAATACAAACAATGCATATTATGATAGCGAAGTTTACATTTAACTCTTCGTCAAACTTAAGTGATATAAGTTTTACTAATGTTTCATTACTCCTAATGATTCGTTATATTTAACATTTTTTCTTGATTATTCAAAATATAATCTCTCGTCCCTCCAAAGTACTCATTTGTGTGTATATGTGTGTGTATGTGTGTGTATTTTTAGACTCAATCCTTGATTCGTAAATAGAATAGTTTATTTACCGGAAATACAAGCAAGTAATAGTAAGTTAAAAATAATATAAATTTAAGAAATCAATATTGTCACAAATATGTTGATGGTAGCACGACAGATTATGTACAATGTCGATGTCGTAGAACAAACAAAAGCTTTATGGGAATTTGTATGTTTTTCATCGCGCTCCTGCTTAGCGACACGATACCAACATGTTAAAAGCAATAAAAATAAATCAACTTTTTCTTCCTGCTTATCCAAAGAATTTACAAATAGTAACAATCTTTAAATGTCCAATACTTAAAGATGTTACGTATGTAATACGAGATTGGACAATAAGCATAGAGACTCGATTTATTTCTACATGTCAGTATCACACATTGATTTCGATGCGGTAATATCGCTTTATTTATATATTAACCAGCAGTTTTATCTTTCACTGGACGAACGGTTGCCAAAGCCAAAGTGTGTTGGCCGCCGCCAGTGACACGTACCACAGTTTTACCATCTAATTGCCTTCCCTTGACTAATATCGGTTCTTCGACGTCTTCTTCCCCCCCTGTGCCAAGTTGTCCACTGGTGCCCATACCCCATGAATATAGCTCGCCTAACAAGAAAATTATATGCGTATGTCAATCTAAAACTTATTATATAATACATTCTATTAAGCATTATATTTTGCTCAAATTACTTCCGAGAAAGTTCTATACTTTATATAGTAACTTCACATTACATTACCTGATTCTGTTACTGCAAACGACTGCGCACTACCTACAGCTACATCAATGCATTTGGCGGAACTTAAAGCAGGAACTAATGTCAACTCTTTTGCATCCGTGCAGTTGGTACCAAGACCAAGACGACCGTATTCTTTGCGGCCCATCACGAAAACTTGCCCCTCATCGTCCAAAGCAATAGTATGATGTTGCCCGCTACTGATATGTTTCCAAACTTTTCCACTAAACGTCTTCGACATTTGTGGGTGGAAATGAGTGGCGGCGTCTTTCAGACCTGAACATTTCCAACGAACGTGTGAGCAAATGGAAGAGTGCACAATCTTTCTCAAACATATATATTTCTGACTTACCAATTTGATAATAATTGTTTAAGCCAAAGACATATATGTCCCCTTTGTGGTATTCTTTGGCAAATGTGCAGTAAGTTCCTGCCCATACATCGGCGAACTCGAGCTTCTTACTGACTTTAAATTCAACCAGGCCTGGTGTTAAAAGCGGACCTATTCCTTGTCGAGTATTTCTAGTAGCTGTCCGTGAGGCCACTCTACCTAGTTGTCCCTGCTCTCCACAACCGCATGTATATATACGTCCATTTTCACTAAGTAATACTAGATGATCAGCACCTGATGCTATTTTCACTACTTTTATATTAGGTAACATTTCTATTGGAAATCGCTCATTTCCTTTCAGTGTTAGTCCCATGGTGCCATGTGAGTCCTGTTTACAAATCAATTTACCATGTATCTCAATTAATCCTCTTATATAATATTCTCTAATTTAATAACTAATTTAAATATTTTATATATCTTCATTTTCTATTATCTTATATAAAACATAATAAACTAGGGCAATAATAAAAAGGCAAAAATAATATAAAATATATAAGATAAATAATACTTTAGTATCACAGGGAGTATTGAAGAGATTTCTGAGATTGCAGGTGCATTCTCTTTTTTTTCTACAATTATAGAATTAACATTCTTACTTTTAACTTCTACAATTACAAAGTTAACACATTTTTTAAACAAATTCTCCATATAAGTGTTTTTTTCATATAATAGTTTTTTAAGCATCTTGATGTCTTATCACATCACAATATCTTACCAAAATGTTCTTTTATTTAATAGAAGATTGTATCAAGATAAATTAAGATATCTCAAAGCAGACTTACCCTAAATGATCCCCAAGCAAAAACTCTGCCATCTTCTAACAAAGCTGCGCTATGCGAGTCTCCTGCCGTCACCTGGATGACTTTACCAGGTAACTCGACTGTACCTGGCACTGTCTCAGAACCCTCTTTGCTGGTATCTCGTCCAAGTGCTCCCTCATCATTACAGCCAAAAGTCAATATTTCTCCTGTCTTTCTCAAGCATACATTGTGCATACCACCAGCTGCTATTGCTATAATGTCTTGATAGTCAGGTATGACTGCTGGACGCATCTTTTCAACGATATCTTCTCCTAGCCCAAGTTGACCAACATCTCCTTGTCCAAACACGAGTAAAACACCACCCGTCGAGAGCGGCCGTAAGTCGGGTTTTACAATTACTTCTGCAAAAAACACTCAAATCATGCCATAACGTGCTAACAGTCTTTCAGTGAGTGACTCGCATTGACACATGAAAATTCACGCGATCTCTTTCAAAAACATTGAGGTCCTTTTTTCCGGCGGTAACGTGAAATATTTCACGAAATACGCATCGCTCAGCGGGGGAGAAACCGTTTCGTTCGGAGCATTCGCGATTACATAGGTTACGATATTTGATACGCAGTTTGACGCGCTTAGGAACGGAAGGATTGGGAATCGGAATCAACGAGAAGAATCCATACCTTGCTTCTTCTTGATCTGTTTCGGCGTCTTCTCCGCATTCGTAGGCTCTTCCGCAGTGCGTTTCGCCGCTCTCCTCGGAGGCACTGCAACAGATTCTCACGTTTAGGTTAGGTTTACGAATACACCCGTAAAACACTTATTATGACTGTCACGTATGATCAGATATGCTTTTAATATTGTTACTCGTTTATGTACTTACTTCTGCAGCTATTTATCGCGGATTGGAAATATATGTCACCTTTCACTCGATTGGCGCCAAAAGTTACTGTGCTTGGGCCTTTACGACGGTTGCACAACTCGCGAGGAAGCACGATGCAGACCGGTTTTCACAGGGGCATCACAGCTCCTGACACTCACTACTAGAGGGTGTGACGTGCAATATGAGAAGCGCCCGCCAAAACGTACGCCATCTATCAGAACGATTCCACAACTAAAACATAACAAGATTCGCGCTAAAACGCGTTTGCTCCCAAAAATATTGCTGGTGGCAAGTCTCATAGAAGTCCTGTTGAAGGGATGTAAGAGCATCCTGATATGTTCTCTCTCGTGCTACACATGTATGTAAGTACTTATATTTCTGAAATTATTTCTCTTTTCTTCCTTTTCTTCTTTCCTTCCTCTCTCAGCTCTCGAATTCGATTGAAAGCCTGTCTGCCGAGACGCTGTTAAATTGAATTGGATAGTTTTCCGTGTTCGTAAGAACGTAAGTTTGCTCGTAAAAGCGTTATGGCCCAAGGAAATGGCTAATGTTTCATAACTTCTCGCGGTAAATTAATAAACAAAGGCGAATGGAGTTTTTCGCAAATATTACAGTGAAGTTTCATGAAACCGACTGCAGCACGATAAGGAACTTTCAGAGTCTGTGGTTTAATATCCCTAACGGTTGCCAGACTAACATTATTTTCTAACGGACGAAACTCTCTCTCTCTCTCTCTCTCTCTCTCTCTCTCTCTCTCTCTCTCTCTCTCTTTCTCTTAGTATCGCAAGATATTAAAGAAATATCTAAAATTGTAGACGCATTCCTCCTTTCTATAAAAAATACAACGTAGAATTAATACGGCATACATAAATTCGTCTAATCGTGATTATTTTGATATTATTTGATAAGATATTCCGGCTTGTTGGAATGTCTAAAAAGCGGTGGAAAATTAATTTTCTGATTCACTGTATATTTTTCATTAGATAAAAGCTCACAAATGCGCACTCTCTCTTTTCATGCTCATACGTGCACTATTCCGTCAAAAA